TATGAAGTGGGTGATCACGATCCTCCATAACTTCCTATCCCTTTTGACCCTTAGCAGCGTTTCTCCTTTTTGCCAAGAATCTCTTTCCGTTTCACCATCTATCTGCACAAGTTCGTCAGATCGATGGTTGACTGCCTTCTCCTATTTCTCTTGCTCTCGATATACCTTATGAGGGTTAAATTTTCCAAGCCCACCATCCTCAAGAAATTTCAGTCGTCTCTTTCTGATTCTAAGAGTTATTTTTCTGACCATTTTTATTTCAGACTTCTTTTTTCATCGTTCCATCCATGGAATCCTCAGTATCTTTCTGTAGAACCACATTTCTGTTGCCTTCAGTTTTCATGTGTGGGGAGATTGTCCAGAATTTACTGTCATACAAGAGGAACGTGATCACATAGGAATTCAACGATTTTTCTTTGTTTCTAACAACATTTTACTGTTTCTTTGTACTTTAACTTTATTCGGATTTCTGTGTCGCATTTTCCATCCTCTAAAAGAAGCTAATAGCATAGAACTACAGCTAGCCAACTCTACTGTAAATTGATGAAACCTCGTTTCCAGCCTAGTACTGTGCTTAAATTCCTAAAGTCTAGACACCATAACAAAGAGTTCATCCGAACAACTACAATGGAAGTATTTATAGAAAAGACACAGGGAAGCAAACTTTACTGCGGTGGGAAAGTGACTTAAGTAGATATGCCAGGTCAGGACCAACAATATTGCTGATTCGTCTTTGGATTTTATCAAGAATCTCTAAATATATAACAGGAGAAGCGGACCATATGTGGATGCAATATTCTAAGCATTGACGAATGGTAGAATTATAAATATGCAAGATAGATTCTGGAGAGGAAACTTGTCTAGAATGACACAGTGAACCAACTTTCGTAGTAGCTGACCTAGCATTTGATTCAATATAGTCTTTCCACTTCATGTCAGTCATGAATGTTAGCCCGAAAGGGCACAACGAGTCACTCTCCTAGAGATTAGCATCAGTCAAGCCGATGGAAGGCAGGAAGTGATCTCTCGGTCGATTAATAGAGGGCAGTTTTGTTTTGGATGCGTTAAAATTGACAAGCCGTTCTTTGTTCCAGTTAACAGACTGAAGGTTGTTTTTGACATAAGCCGACAATTTGACCGAACTGATCAGACTTACTATCGACACATGAATAAAAGGTTGCGTCATCAGCATAGATACCAAGTTGAGAGCTGATGTCAACGAGAAGGTCGTTAATGAAAATTAAAAACAAAGTTAGGACCAAGAATAGAACTCTGTGGATGGGGCGGGGGCACCTTCATTCGTATAAAAGGACATAGACGAGTGGACTTTCATTTCACAGTTTGATAAGAAAGACTGAATCAATTCAGAAATGTGTCTGCAGACGCCAAAATACCCCAATAAGCCTGATTTCAAGAATTTATTTAAAATCAAATTTTTAAAGATTTGAAAAAATATATCCATGCATTTGAAATACGAATAAAGGCAATGCACCCCTGTATGTTAAAATTAATGATATAAAAACTTTCCTTGGGTGATGCTTATTAAGAACACACATACACAATTTTCAGAAACTGAGTAGAATACAGAGATCGATGAGTTATTATGTACACCATTTACATTATTCGGACTATTGTCCTCATCTTTGTCGCCATATTTATTACAACGTTTCGGTCATTGTACGCTCCGGCCTTCTTCAGGTGGTTGGAATGTCGAACTTGGAGAGGGGAATTAACAGGAGACAACTGATAACTGGCATCCATTAAACATGGCACGTGGAACTAGAACAGTCTACCCCAGTGAGCGAAATAAAGGTTCAGTTCGACATTCCAACCACCTGAAGTAGGCCAGAGCGTACAACGGACGAAACGTTGTAATAAATATGGCAACAAAGATGAGGACAATAGTCTGAATAATGTAAATAGAGATCAAAGAATAAGATGAGAAATGAAGAAAAAAAAAGCGCTAAAATGCTATGCCATATTTACCCGCGTACGTGACAATGTTGAAGATTTGACGTAGCCGAGATGCGACTGTGCTTATGAAGGCTGAGAATTCCATGGGATGACATGTGGCAAATAAGGAAGGAGATTAGAAACTGTGAATAAAAATCAGTACGATGTATCTGAAATATTGGGGAGACATTACGAAGAAAGAAAAATAAAGGGAAAAAAGCGAGTAACCTGAGTCACAAATTTGAGCAAATGGATGGAGAAACGAATATCACAGAGACAAAAAAGGGCCATAAATGACCAGGTCTTGCTAAGACAACAAATGACAAAAATCTGTGAAGAACCGTGACCACTTATTTTCTGAAGGGACATGACACAGAGAGAGTTAGAAAGAGTTCTTGATGTCATGAGATGTTAAAGTAAGTAATTACTAAGGAGTTTTATTTCCTTCATTGCCTGGGGTTAGATTTGACTTTGAGTTGACAGATATTTATTACTCAATAATGGAGATTTGATGTGTTTTGAATTTCATAAAAACTTAGGAATGTTGCATATAATAGAGAAAACTATTATTCATTAAGTAATGTACTGCTCAACCTACTTTATAAGACAAGAGCAGAAGTTCGCCAAGTTGTCTAACAGGCTACAGCGACCGATTTCGATCCTAATTATCTGCTTGGCGAAACTTCATAAAGTGTTCCATATGTGGAGTATAAGAAGATATTAGATAAAGTTAATTTTTTGAGATGCGAAATTTACAAACATTTGTTATTCGGACCAGCATGCTGATTTTTGTTGTTCTACTCTCAACATTTCGATCGTTGTACTATCTGGCCTTCTTCTAATGTCTGTCTTCATACTCGATAACTTTAGAATTTGAAACAAACCCTTTATTCATTCCACGGGAGTAGATTGTTCTTGATCCGATTTTCTTGCTTAGAGGAGATAACTCATATCCGTTAATAGCCAGCAATTCATTTTTGTGTCGCTTATTTATTTCTTCCGCTGAACTAGAGTATGCAACTTTTCAACACGACCGTACCCAGGGATCGAACTCACAATTACCAGCGAACCTGATATGTTTTGACCAATCTACTAGGCCATATGATGGTATTCCGGGACCTTAGATCTTATGTACGTAGAAAAATGTTTGACTCTGGTTGAATGAGCGTCCGAACATCATCAGTTGACCTAGCATAGAGATTAGTACCACATGAGAGCCTCTGATTTAAGAATGACACCAAAGAATAATTTCACCACCTGAGTCAGGACAATCATGCAATCTCTCCACCTAACCACAGACAATAGATTTAAGGCTTCAGAATTTTAGTCAAGCATTTATAGGATGCAGTAGACAGTTCCATTCATACAGAACGTTCTACACGATAAATATCAGGAAGCTGTAGACAGATAATGAGATGGCAGGGCTCAGTATATTTTTTTCAACCAATTTAGGAATTGATGTGAAGTCCAGTTGCTTCACTTTGGGGTTCCTGCAAAATACTAGGCAACTATCCATTTACTACTACAATGTATATTCGTATCTAATACATTTATGCATATATAATTCATTTCTCCAAATATAGAGATTCACCTCGATATCTGTCTATATATCTGAGATGAGGTATTATGTACACTATTTACATTGCTCGGACTATCTTCCTCATCTTTGTTGCCATATTTATCACAACGTTTCGGCCGTTGTACGCTCCGGCATTCTTCAGGTGGTTGGAATGTCGAACTGAACCCTCTATTTCGCTCGCCGGGGTAGACTGTTCTAGTTCCACGTGCCATGTTTTTAATGGATGTCAGTTATCAGTTATGTCCTGTTAATTCCCCTCTCCAAGTTCTCCACCGCCATAACCAGGAATTGAACTCACACTCTTTGGGTCCTGTCACTGGATCTAACTAATGCCTTTATCCTCGAGGACACATGGCACAGTGTGAGTTCAATACCTGGTTAAAGCGGTGGAGAACTTAGAGAGGTGAAATAACAAGAAATAACTGATAACTGACATCCATCAAACATGGCACGTGGAACTAGAACAGTCTACCCCAGTGAGCGAAATAAAGGGTTCAGTTCGACATTCCAACCACTTGAAGAAGGCCGGGGCGTACAACGTCCGAAACGTTGTAATAAATATGGCGACAAAGATGAGGATGATAGTCCGAGCGATGTAAATAGTGTCCACCTCGGTATAACACCAATTCTGTATGTTGCATTTTAGTATTTGTTGTCAAAACAAATGTTGGTTGCGGAAGCCATTTGAGAGCACACGAAAGAAGTAGGCAATGTCTGCTGTATCCCTATGAGCCCTTAGCATAGAGGTGAATACTACGTGGGAGCCTTTGATCAAAGTAAAAAAGGATAATGAAAAAAAAATAAAGAAATCCACCACCTGAGTCAGGACAACCATACAGACCTGACATGTGATTTCAGAATTACATCACTAAATGCAATAAAAGGTGACTTATTCGCTCATCATGGAAAACCGAATGGAAATAATTAGTTTGAACAAATAATTCGGTTCGAAATTCGAAGAAGGTTACTATTAAGACTCACACACAAAGAAGCCCGGAGGGTGCAATGGCCGAAACAACTTATCTATTCTATATATCCTCATAATCTACAATTACATAAAACAGCTCCATTCATCAACCCTTTACCATGAGTGGCTCTTGGGCCTTGTATGGGGTGAAAAATATAGTATAAAAGAATAACAGATAAGTATGATGGTTTGAATAGCAGAGCTTATAATAATGTAGGGCAAACGATGAGAAGAAACTCACTATTTTTGTTTTCTACGGTTTATCAACCCTTTACTTGTTATTTAAGGCCAGGTAATATATATATATATATAGATTCTAATAATGTTTTTAAAGATAGTAATGGCTTAGTGATAAAAGTCTTACTAATTAACCCACAGCTGGGGGGAAAAAGATGGATTCATACCTTTCCCAAAGGTATTTGTGCGTAAGTGAAAACCAACGCGAATTGGAACTTGGCTCTCCGATTTCAAATTCCGAGCTATTATATATTAAACCACCTGCTTGCAGTACCTGGTATTCCCAAGCGGTCATCTATGTATGTACTGACCAGGCACGATGTTGCTTAACTTCTGTGATCGTACGGGAACCGGTGTTTCAACGTGGCGTGGCTGTAAGCCAAACTTATTGACAAAGGCTTGTGAGATTAAATAGCAAGGAAACATGGCACAGTGGATAAAGGCGTTAGTTAGATCCAGTGACAGGACCCAAAGATTGTGAGTTCAATACCCAGTTAAGGCAGCGGAGAACTTAAAAATGGGGAATTAACAGGAGATAACTGATAACTGACATTAATTAAACACAGCACGTGGAACTAGAACAGTCTACCCCGGTGAGCGAAATAAAGTGTTCAGTTCGATATTCCAAACACCTGAAGAAGGTCGGAGCGTACAACGACCGAAACGTTGTAATAAATATGGCGACAAAGATGAGGACAATAGTCCGAATAATGCAAATAGTGTGCATAATACATAGACAAATAGCAAATTTTAACCATTCATTTTGAACGCTGACATTAAGGCATAGAACTGACCTTCAGAACGCTGCTTATAGTCAGCCGATCATAATTCCAAGCATTTCGATTACAGAAGTTTATAAAAAAAATTCTTGGTTGGCTGAAACATTTCTATGCTTGCATGTGCGTCTGTGTGGGCGTGCGTGCGTGCGCACGTGCGAGCGTTTTGAAGGAAACTTTCAGAAATCATATGTGTGCAAACGTGTGATTTCGGCTTTCTTTGTAGTGATACTATTGATATGAAGGATTATTTCCCAACAAGTGTTGATAAAACTGACAAAAAGTAGCCGTTTTATCTTCTTCGTCCATTGACACTATTTTTCGTTTTTATTTTAGCTTCTTATCACCCGCCTGTTTTTTTTTTTTTTTCCCGCTGTTCCCGTCGGAAAGAGCGCTGACACTTTCAAACCTGGAGGTCAAGAGATATGCTACTGGGAACTACTGTCGAACTTTTCTATCCTAAGCAAACTTTGTTCTCACGAAAGAGAGAAAAAAAAGGAAAATAGAAAGTTTTAAGAATGTTTTATGTTGAAACATTTTCGGAAGAAGAAATCAGTAAATAATGGAAGGGAATTTGACGATAAGTGATTGAGATTTTCATTTTTTATTTTATCTTTTTTTGATGTTGGAATTTTTTCTTTTTTGTGATTGTTTGGTTACTGAATTTTTTGTGTGATATACAGGTACTAAAATAAATTTTCATTAGATCATCTTATATTTGGCCAAGGTGAAAGTGTCTCGGGTTGTCCTAGTTAATATTTTGAGTCTTTTTATGTTTTTTTATGGTTATTGTCCATTGTTTTGTGGTGAGAGATTTGAGATATATATTTTCTACAGCGAAACATCCTGATATATATATATATATACACACACATTTTTCTTCCTCACCGGTAGCGCAACTCATTGCAAGATTTATGCCCGATGCAATCGTCAGGTGTTGGGTGAAACTCATTGAGCACTGTTTTATTACAACCAGCATTCAATGTGGGATAACTCATAAATATATATATATATATATATATATATATATATATATACACACACACACATTCACACACATAGTACATGTATATATGTACTTTATATATATATATATATATATACGAAATAGCCCACATTGTATGCTGGTGGTAATAAAACTAATATATATATATATATATATATATAGTAAACAGGATGCACGGTGGAGTAATGGTTAGCAGCTTGGATTAAGGAATCGGAGAGTTGAGTACGAATTCCAGTCGAATCCATTACATTCACTTTCATGCTAATACCCTTGGGAAGGGTATGAATCCTCTTCTCCCTCCAGCTATGGGTAAATAACAGGACAGACTGGGTTCCATAGCCTTGGATGGCAACCTGTCTAGGAGAAGGTCTCTGAATTCAAAACCTGCGGAGGGTCGTTTGCGGACCTTTTGGCACGTAGTGCACCATATCTCTGTATTTGGCCCTTCAAAAAGTGTGAATGGTTCTTCACCACTATAATCAAATCTCATGTGATGGTGTCGAGCTGTCGGTTCCTGGGGACTCATCTGCTTGACCCTCATACGGTAAATCTTCAAGACCTACAAATAAAATTTTATTTGTTAGTAGGTCTTTAAGATTGAGAACTGTTTTTTTAAAGCTCTCATGAAATAAAAGTTATTACCTATGGGATTTTAAGCGTTTAATATTCTTTAAGTAATAATGATAATTATATATAAGGATTTCAGAATGTTTTGGTTTTGTTCTTATGATACTGTTCAAATCGAGAAATGAAATAACTGACACTTTTACATACAGGCATTTCTGTGAATTCGGTTCCAGAAATCACAATAAATCGAACTACATATTGATTTTTTTCACTGCATATGATAAAAGTTATATTCATAAATTTATTTAGAACTTGTTTTAGAGGTATACCGTGTATAGTCGTATCATCGGCGTAGATGTCTACAAATGATTTGAGTATATTCTTAATGTAAATAAAAAAAGATGAAGGAAGGATTTTATAATCGAGAAGACCCTTTCAATGATTCCATAGCTGGAGAACCTGTGTAACCAATCTTTGTGCCGCACCCTGTCGGTGCAGATAAATTTGGAAAGGACAGTCAAGAAAGAAAAGGTGGTTTAGAGAAAGACTGAAAGAAACAATCTTGATGAAAAGAAAGAAAGATAAAAATAAAATAAATTAAAAAGGAAGGGGCAGAAGTTAAAAATAAAATTCATTAATTCAAATATACACCGGAGGGAGTCGTTAGTGATGTAAATTGAGTTTGTTCATCAGGGAGTTTGGGGTCTTTCAACATCATACACCCCATCACCAAGTCCACCCAATCAATGGGAGATCAAGTCCTGATTCCCCCTCGCAATCAAATGCTAGCAGATACTTTGGCATTTTTTTTTTATTTTATTTTTTTTTAATGAATTAGACGAAAATAAGACCAACATGCACACTCGATTGGATGTTTGTAACGACCAATCCACTGCGCGAACTGTCTTTTAAATGGTCCACGGCGGGGACTGGCTTTTTTTTTCTTTCTTTTTTGCTGTATAACAGTTTCAAAAAATGAATTGATAAAAATTAAATAAAACGTTAAAATGAAAAAAAAAAAATTGATTTTTCCGGACTTTAAAATTCAGAACGGTCTACAATCCAGATGAAAAGACCGGACCCAGTCAATGAGAACAAGAAGCGAATGTTCCTCTTCCATCAGATCTACAAATTAAGAACTGAGAAAAGAAAATGAAAATTATGAAATTTCTATCAGAAAGTTATTCTCGTCTGAGTCCACCCATCGAATCTATAAATCAACTATTCGTCCTTTCATGGAATATTGCTGTCATATATGGTCTGGTGCCCCGCTGTACGTCTCGAGGTCCTCGACAAAATCCAGAGACGAATATGAAATACGATAGGTCCTGATCTGACATATCGTCTACTGTCGCTTTCTCACGGACGTGCCGTGGCTTCCCTCAGTCTCTTTTACAAGTATTTTCACGGCATCTGTTCCGACGAACTACTTTCGCTGGTTCAAAGACTGCACGAATTTAAGCGGTTTACTTGGCTGGCATCTCGGTCCCACCCTTTCACTGTCGAAACGGGTAGATGTAACCGTCTCTTCTATTCAAACAGCTTCTTTTCTTGCACTTTCCGTCTGTGGAACTCCCTTCCTCTTTTTTGCTTCCCTGATAACTATAATCTTCAAATATTCAAGTGTAATGTCAATCGACATCTTCTGATACCTTGATCTTGTTCCCCGTCCTTCTCTGTATCCTTTCCTCAGACACACCTCTTTACTCTTGTTCTCAATCCTCTGTAACTCCTTGCGTGTTAGTGGCACTCCTGCCTTACTTGGGATGAATTGCTTAAAAACCAATTGAGTAACCTGAATGTTCGTCCTGGGTATGACGATAAACTACATCCAACAACAAGGCCTCTGAGCAGGAGGTTTTGAGGATCGTGGAACCAACTCTTAATTAATATTGTTCCCAAGTCCACTCTGAGCCGGGGCGCTAGCACCTGTTCGAGGCCGAGCTTTGGGAAAATAGTTAACCCTAATTAAACTGGTGTTAAAACATTATGAAAGTATAAAAATAGATTTTTATGGTAAAAATATCAGCAATACATTTGGCTCTTGACAAAAACCCTCTTTAAAAAATACGTCAAGGAAACCTGATCTACGAACTCATTTCTTTCAAAGAAATATATATTTCATTGATACGAACCTATCCTAAAAATTTTGTCGACATAAGTGTTGTAACTTAGGAAAAGGTTACTGAATAAGAATAACAGAAACGAAGGTTGGAAATGGAATGAAACAATATACAAGATTCACCAGCGGTGTGTAGTAAGTAATCAACTGCTAGTGGTGAGCTAGAAGTGAATCGCAAGTGAATTCCAATGACGATTATTCACTAACCGCCCCACGCGGTCGGATATGGCACAAGGCCGAGTTTTATTGTGGGGTGTCCGAGCCCGTAGAATCGGCCCAAAATTCCCCGTCGACCTCGTAAAAACGGGGTCGGGTAACTAAACAAAAGACGAGACAACCCTTCGACATAGCCTGGGGATCCTCTCTGCCCAGAGGCAGAGAGTTTGACCAGCACAATTGGAAGTGTATCCAAATGACTACCACATACTGTATATTCTACTGTATTTATACGGATTGTGACATACCCATTATAGTCCATAGGTACAATATAACAATTAGATAACCCACTGAGGTTGATATGCCGTAAAACAAACCAAACTAACCTGAATGTGACCGTTGTTACTGGTATATTAGTACTATATATGTACCTGTAACGGCATTCGCCAAGTTTTTTAGGCCGGCTCCAATATTGGAGTTTCATGGATCAATTCATTGGTCCCCAACCCGCATGTATAGCACATGAGATTTGATTATAGTGGTGAAGATTTCGTGCGTGGAAAAAATCACACTTTTTGAAGGGCCAAATACAGAGGCCTGGTATACTACGTGCCACAAGGTCCCCAAACGACCCTCCGCAGGTTTTGAATTCAGAGTTTTCCTTCTCCTAGACCAGTTGCCATTCAAGGCTATAGAACCCAGTCTGTCCTGCTATTTACCCATAGCTGGAGGGAGAAGAAGGGTATTA